TACGGCAGCAAAGTTCCTTGATTATTACACCGGAATGAGAGTATAGTTCCTAGCCATGTCAACCGAGAAAATCACAACTTTTCATTTTCCGTCGGTCTTAGTACACGATGTAACTACAGAAGAGTCAAGTTTTAAATAGGAAAAATATAGAAACTTTGGTCATTTGAGCGAGATGCTAACGGTCTAATCATATTCAATGATCTATGCTAAGCTACAGCTAAAAGTGCTACTACGCCAGACCCGAAGATCGACTGAATGGATTCGAAAACGGTAAAACTCAACTGTTTAACTCTAGGGGAGTTGGAAAATGAGCCTATTTTCAAAAATAGTGGAGTGTTCCTTTAAGACTGGTTTTGTGGTCCAGGGTCACAAATAATCCTGTTAGAATAATGCTCATCATCACATTTGAATATATGTATATATAGTTGACTTACATGGGATTACAGATTTCAGTTTAAAGGTAGTAAATAAAAAATACACTCCACACAAAAATACATGCATATTATCTAGTGAAATGGTATATGAAATAAATGTAAAATATTATTTAAAATAAAATGCTGTTTTCCTGGAATACTACAAAACAAATGGTTATATTTAATAATTGATGTATCATTTATTGGTTTAACTTAAATAAAACAGTACATTTAATAAACGATCTCTTAAGGCAAGACATTCCAGGTGAATGAGGTAAAAATGTAACAGATATCACCATACTTCCCCAGCTGATTAATTAAGAATTGCAAAAAAAAAAAATGTTGTTTAAACATGAAAATGAGGCATTATCTAATTAAATATGCACAAATTTAAAGTCCAGTGCAAAATTCTTGTTTCATTTTGGTGACATATCAGTTTTTACAAAGGAGATTTCAGGTATCTCTGTTTATTACACCATAAATTAGAAATATGGTTAACAGCCCCACGGGGGAAAAATCACTATGTAATATAAGTCAGTAAAATGATATGAACAAACCCCTCTGTGAAAATCTTCAAAATATAGATAGGTATGTAAGTGCTGCTGAAGTGGAGATTTCTGGCCCAGTGCAATAATTTTGAGAAAACAGCCTTTAAAAAATGCAGCGGAAATGACACAAATACAGTAGTGGATCAAAACCTCTCATCAAAGTTGTCCTAAAACCAAAACAATATCCGTTCTTGTCTTAGGACATCTTTGATGAACTTTTTTGATTGACTTCAAAGGTTGACTAATGTAGATAGTCCAATAAAATAAACCCTTAAAAGTGTATTTTGGATGCTTTCTGTTCCACTAGTCTGACAACTTCAGGAAAACATACTATAAAAATGGCCTGACTGATCAGCATGGTCAATATATCAGTCATTTACACTGGTTTAATTTCTGTCCTGAGCAGGAGATCACGCTCTTTACCGTCGGTCTGATAGTTGAGGGCGACCAACTGGATTCCGTGCAGCCAGAAGATGAGAGGATTGGGGTTGGCGGAGTCGATGCGTGTGGCTGCAGGGTACGTGCGGAGCAGCTGGCAGCTGGTGTGCTGGATGAGTTTCTGGGAGTAGCGGCGACACAGACGCTTTGCAGCGTTCTCATTGACAGAGGAGATGTGGTAGCATTTGGGTGTGCGGATGATGGAGCTGAGAGAGGTGCTCGGGCTCAGCGTTAGTGATGTTTGTTCCTCCCAGTTCATTCGAATGCCCTCCAGACTGGCTGCAGAAGAAACAAGAATGCTGATCTGATATTAAGTTGATATTGCAACAAGTGGAAAGGACCTAAAAATTTATTTCAGAGAAACTGTTTCAAAGTGAAACTAAGCAGTATGAGATAGTTAAATATCTTATGTGAGGCTGAGTCACATCTGCAATTTGGCAAACAGGCAAAAGCAGAAACAGAGCATGTTTATAGAAGGGGAAAGTCATGTCCTTATCACCACTAAGAACACTACAGCAAGCTTTGGAGTTTTGCATGTGGTTGTTCATTTTAAAAATAAAAACTTATTTTGAAAATGAAGACTTTAAGAAATAAAAAAAATATAGATTCGTTTTATAATTTAAGTTTTATTAACTTAAAAAAAAAAACAGATTAAGAAAAATAATGTAATAATTTATAGCAAAACAGTATTTTTGTGTTTTTTTGAAAAAAAAAATAAAATAAAAAAAAAATAAA